TCACCCAGTATGGGAAAATAATATTCGGGATCGTATAAAATGACATTAGGTATATAAAAATCTTCACAAAACATCAGACATTTCAGTAAAGTAGGAAAAATTCAGATCCGTTTCAAGCACCATTTAAAGCCCCCAAAATGAATTTTCATCAAGATAAAAAAAATAAGCATTTTTGAGTTGGTTCACCAGGGGGCAATTTTTTCTCCTCCTGTGTCCACTGTTTCATTTAAAAATTAACAGCAATTCAAAGCAACCTTTGAAAAACTGAACTTTTCTGCTGTGTCAACAATCGTTCGATTTTATGATACTGTAATCGGAAAAATAATAATGAATTCAATAACATCTTCTCAAACATTTTCTATCCACCCTTCAAAGCCCTCCAATTACAATTTTCATCGCGATCAAAAAAATAAACATTTTTCGGCTGGTTCTACAGGGGCCGATGCCCGCTGTTCCACTTAAAAATTCACCAATCCCTCTGGATTTTATCTAAATACAATGCAATTACAACAATTGGAAAGCTGAATGTTTCTACTTTGTTGTGCATGTAATTCATGGTTAAACAGCACTCCATATGTTTTGTAATATGAGATAAGAAAATAATGTGCAGGATCGTATCAAATGAGATTAGATACGATACATATTCCCCCTCCCCTTGGAGTTTAGATATATGAAAAGTTACAAAAAACAAAAACGCGCTTCCAGTAAAGCAGGCCGACAAAATTAATTTTTGAAAAAGCCCCCCCCCCAATACGAATTTTCATCGCGAACAAAAAAAACAAACATTTTTGGGCTGGTTCACCATGGGGCAATTTTTTCTCCACCCGTGACCACTGTTTCATTTAAAAATTCACAGCAACTATGAATGTTATCCAAATACAATGTTACACATATACAACCTCTCGAAAACAGAACTTTTCTACTCTGTCAACAACCTTAGATTTTGTGAAACTATAAGTGAGAAAAAATAAGTATGAATTCAATAACAACTTCTCAAATATTTTCTTTTTTATCTCCGATTCTAATTTATTTAACGGAGTCTGGTTTTTGTCATTAAGTCTAGTTTATAGTTCTAAAACTCTGTAAAGTTTGATATTGACAGGTTGAATCTTTTTAATGTTATCGCCAGTTTTGTGATTTTTGAACAAAATCGGATGACGATGGAAAGGGCGAGAGATTTGAGAAAAATTATTTTTTCTGCCTTTGTTCTGCTCGTATTTCAAGATTATTATACATCAGTCGATTTGATATTTTACCCACTATGAGAAAATAATATTCGGGATCGTATAAAATGACATTATGTATATAAAAAGCTTCACAAAAAATAAGACATTTCAGTAGAGTAAGATAAATAACTGTTTTTCTGAAAAAACTAAATTCAAATCCGTCTCAAGCACCATTTAAATCCCTAAAATTAATATTTTCATCGCGATCAAAAGATAAACGTTTTTTGGCTGGTTCGCCAGGGGACGATGTCCGCTGTTCCACTTAAAAATTCACAACCACTCTGGATTTTATCTAAATTCAATGTTATTGCAACAATTGGAAAGCTGTTTCTACTTTGTGCCTATGTCAACAATCTTCAGTTTTATGATATTAAAGTGAGAAAAGTAAGGATGGATTCAACTTTTCAAACATTTATTTTTTTTTATATTCGCTTCTAATTTATGTAAGGAAGGCTGGTTTTTGTCATTGGGTGTAGTTACAAGGTTCTAAAACCTAAAGTTTGATATGTACAAGGTGAGTCGTTTTAAAGTTTTCACCAGTGTGGTGGTTTTTCAACAAAATCGGAAGGCGTTCGGAAAGGCCAAAGGTTTCAGAAAAAATTGATTTTTTGATTTTCCCAACAATTATCATTCGGGTGCCAAAAACGAATATCGACTTTGTTTCTTGTCAAAAAAATTAAAATACATTGAGAGGCACGAAAAGAACCAATGTGCAGTAATTAAATAAAAGGCATCATCATTATTATTATCAAATTCACTAATTTCGTGGTCCGCTTGACCAATTAATATCAAATAGGTTAAAATAGTTTTCTTAGAGAAGAAACAATGCTGATAGAAATGATGAAGATGGGGTGAGTATGTAGATTCACTATTTTTGCAAACAACCCAATTTTCATCATCGGCCAGTTTTCCAGAACACACTTGGTTAGGGATGGTTAGGGGTTGTTCATAGTTATACTAATGGCCAGACCAATACATCAACGTTTCGTCACAAACTGTCTCTATGGAAAAAAAATGTTGTGTGACGTGGGGAGACATGAAACGGGGGATCAACGAGTTCAATTAAAATTTTCTGGTGATACTAACAAAAAGTCCAAAAATATTTAGAAATCCGATCTTTCTTGCCAATTGGCCCTAGAAGCCTAGAAAAAAAACTGTCCGTTTGTTTTCTTACTTAGGATAATAAATTAATCCTAATAATAATCAGGATCGTATCAAATGAGATTAGATAGGTGAAAAGTTACAAAAACCAAAAGTCGCTTCCAGTAAAGCAGGCCAAAGAACGTAGTTTTTGCCCTGATTAAAGGGGGCAATTTTTTTACTCCTATTATCACTGTTTCACTTAAAAATTCATATCTCCTTCGGATTTGGATTTCAAATTCCATGTTATTACAGCAGTTGGATAGTTGGATTTCCATTCTTTCAGTCTATGCTAACAACGTTTAGATTTTATGCCGGTAAAAGTGAGAAAAACAAGGATGAACTAAGCAAAAACACCTCGAACGTTTCATTGTATATCTCCAGTTTTAACTTACATACGTAAGCCATCTTTATGCTATTACGTGTAGTTTATAGGGTTCTAAATCTCTGTAAAAATCCCTGTTGATTGAGTCACTATGGAGCATGCGGTCAGCAACAGGGGTAGTCGCAGCATCGTCTCTCGCTCGCTACCGAGCATTCCTGCATCAACAACCTGCTCATCGATATCGGTACACGGACTTCGGCTTATCCACCACACGGACTTCCACAATTTATCGGCTCCGCCCATAATACAGGCCCTTCTCAGAGCCACCAGAAAGGCCCGGTCCATAAAATGTCGAATGGCTAATTCGGTATTTGACTTTACAGCTCAATGGAAAATTCTCCATTTCTTACGTATCTTAAAGCTCAAGGAATGCTGTTAAAAACTCTTGTTTCAATTGTCAACTGATGTCCCCCAATTGGTCGTAGGTGTTTTTGCAGTCCGAACGCTTCATCTGTTCTGCAACGATAAAATGTTACTTCGGGACTTAAAATGCCAGGAAGACATTTCTCTTTTTCCACAAGATCACTCTTGAAAAATGGATGAATCTGACATAACTGCCAACATTTCCATAGATTGGATACATTATCTAAAGGATGTGCTGCAGCGCTGTAAGGAATCTTCTAAACTTTCATGTGATTCGTCAATGTTTGCCCACTCATTCTAAAATAGTTGAAACATATTCAAAAAGTACAACAAATTTCCCGACCTCTTGTCGTATTGACTGGATGAACGTTCATACAACGCCATAAATGCGATTAAATTATTGCGTTCCATTCCAACCGTGGACGCGGGCACAACTTGATGTCGAGAGCATGATTGATATGAACGTTCAGTTCACTGCATTGGCTAATCGCAAAGGGTTTTCCACCACGTTAACGCTCAGAACTTGGTTGGTACGTTCGCCTGACATCGACCCATCAGATTTGCACTTGCTCCTGGAAAACTTTATTAATAGTGAAATCTTGACTCACTTGAGGAATAAGGGAGGAGAAAATACTCATCAAAAACCTGAGAAGTTCTGGTAGAATTACGAAATTACATCGAATATGGCAACAGGTAGTGAAACCAAATGGTTCAATCTTTTTAAAAAGATAGTTTCTACTCACAGTTAATTGTTTTCAACAACCGGATTTCGAGCTTATAGCTCATCTCAGGTTGTAGAACTCCTTCAACTGATGATGAGCTACAAGCTCGAAATCCGGATCGTGGAAACAACTAACTGTGAGTAGGAACTATCTTTTTAAAAAGATTGAACAAACAAACACATTCTCTCCACCATTTATCATTTCTACCAAATGGTTCACGTTATTTTTGATTAAATTTGTTTAGCTTGAATTTTTATTGAATTTACCATTAAAAATTGTTTTAGTAATTGCCTTTTATTTATCAATTTTCCAAGTACATACCAATATTTTTGTTTTAAATTTTCGATGCGTCTAACGCAAGAGGTTGTTTTTAGAAAATATACGTATACGGCTTCTATTCGAAATAAATTCTATCAGTACGTTGTAGGTATACATTTTTTATGAGGTATTAACTGAAAACCTCTGCATACAAGCCGGAATTTTTTTTCTTTCCACCGAAAACGTGTCGCCCGGGCTAGGCCATAACTTGTCTCATACAAAACGTCTCTCTTTTGTACTAAAAGAAATAAAGTCGTCGCATTCCCTTTAGATAAACAAGGGAAAAATAGATGTTAACTTGATAAATGAGGAGATTACGAGGATACCGGGGCAATCCGGAGATAGGGTGTGAACCAGATAAAAATCCCCCCCTTCACCTCCATTCCATTATTATTCAGAGTGAGAGGTTTTGACAAAACATCATATGAGGACGTCTTGCTTTATGCATTCACATCACATCCTTCCCTATCTCGGCTCCATCATAACACTATCTGATAAATGCCGTACCAGCACGGAAAAAAAACCCTAAGCTGGTTTTATTATAGTCAAAACGGATAGTTCAGGGGGCTAAAATCTCGTTAACGAAAGTGAACAGCAAGCCTATGTCCAAATTTCAGATATGCAACGATTTGAGGGGGTTGTCTCGATGTCAGCTTGCAATACTACGGTGCAGCCAACGATTAAACGGAAATGCGTTAAATTTTACAAATCTTTTGATTTTAAATAGTCTTTAAAATGCACTCATCTGTAGCTACTTTGAGCGCCCTTTGAATAAAATTAAAAAAAAAAAAAAGAACAACCCAATATAAATTTTTGTTTTTAAAAGACGGAATAATAACGGCTTACCCATCAGATCCTCTCCTCTTCTGTATTACCTTGGAAGGATCTGTGAAATTAAAAAACAAAGAAGCCCTTATTAAAGAAAACATGGACAAATAAAAGCTTGTGCATTAATTGTTACAAAGTATTAGTTGGGTTCGCCACCATCTGAACATTTTGAGATAGCAATAAAAAGGTCATTTTATTTATATAGTTCAACAAGAAATTTATAATTTATATGTTATTGCAAGCTTTTACTTTAAAGATGATGCGGTTGTAATGTTAATATAAAAATAATATCCAGCCGGAAAACCCGTAACCGACGATCAGCACATTCGGTATGAAACCAGTTACGTTTTGACCTACATGTATTTTTCTGCTCGGCTTAAAGAATATGTTAAAACAAGAGTTGCAAGGTGAAAGACTTAATTTGTTCAAATAAAAATAACGAGATGTTTGGATGGATAAAAACCCTGACAAACTGGGTATCCGGACACAGGAGGTAACGAAAAGGCGGCTAAGACGTCCCACCTCAGGTCTTAACCAGTAACCACCACGATCCGACTGCCTGATGCTGCAGATGCAATTTAAAAAAACACGATTAAAAGAAAGGGTCAGCGTTGGTGGCCGGATCGGCAGAGAAGCTTTTGTGTAATAAGAGTCGATAAGTGACCCTCGGAGGAATGAAGGGTGCACCCGATCCACTGTGTTTGAGCAAAACAGAGAGCCTTTGGGTCCCATGTTCTTCTTTTTATAAGAAACAGGATTGTTTTATTGTATAAAGAACGTATAGATATTTCCTTTTGTTAATATTTACATTGAATGTATTTATTAGCGTGAATGTGTAGTTTGAAAGAGCCGATGGTGGACTTCACCAATAGGGATGAATATATTTAAGATTGAACGAGAGTGAATCTGGCTTTAAAATGTGAATGAATTTGGAGGCAGAAATAACTAAGCTATCGACTGCCTTTTGAGCGTTCGTCGATTAAGTCAGCCGATATGAGGATTGTGCTTGAGAAGAGCAGCAAGTCTTTGGGTCCACGGTTTCGATTGTTTGAGGAAACAACAAACAAAAAAGGGTTGTTTTACTCTATTTGGTACTAATAGTTTTGTATGGTGTGAGTGAATGTATTTATTGGCGTGAATGTGGGCCGCTGATAAACAACACGAATCGGCGGACCAGTATGACTAAAAGAAGTAAAGTAAAAATAATAAAAATTAATTATGTATTTGTGAACTTAACTACCTCTGATGCTAAAAATGCAAAGAAAAACCATGATTAAAAGAAAATGTCAGCATTGGTGGGCAGGATCGGCAGATAAGATATCGTGAATCAAGAGTCGATAGGTGGCCCTCGGAGGATCTGAAGGGGTAATCCTCACCCGACTAAGAACAAGCCATGCGAGATTGACACAAAGACACTTTTGGGCCAAAGTACGCGTAAGTGTCCAGCATGCAGCGAAAGTTTGGTCAATGTGTCCCACCTAATTGATGGGTGCAGTTCCTTGGCTCCACATAGAAAGAGGTAGGAATGTCACCCAATATGAAAATTGTGCTTGAGCATTGAGAATTTGGGTTCCTTGTTCCGATTTTTAGAGAACATAGGGCTTGTTTTACTGTATATAACACTTTATAGATGTCTTGTGTTACTTTGTGTCACATGTTGAGACTGAATGTATTTATTAGTGTGAATGTGTAATTTGAAATGGCCAATGGTGGAATATGGAGTACCCCACAATTAGGTTAGTTATATAACATATATAACTAAATCATAGTGTAAAGGGTGATAGAAGAATGAGTACTCCACCACCCTGAGTGAATGGTATTTAAATAAGATAGAAATGTATTTAAGAGGGAGTGAGATTGTGGACGGGTTAGGATTTAGAAAATGATTGCATAGGAGGCTGAAATAACCTAGTTGAAGTCCAACTTTGACCGTCAGCAGAGGTACCAAAGAAAGGAAAAAGTGTGCTTTAATTTCAAGACAATGATTGGCTTCAATATATCTAAAAAAATATATATTCTTGATCATTTCGACCAAGATAATATTCCTTCTGACAGATCTCAATCAGTGACTAGACAGCTTGCCCTGATTTCTTAGTACCTTTTTCACTTTTCCTTCATAAAACACATCATATAGCTCTGGATCTTTTATTTTAAATAATAACTGTACAGTCGTTTCCTTGAACCCTGAGAGTGCAAGTATTAAGCTCAAAAATATTTATATGTTTTGGTCAAAAGCACAATCACTAAACATTTGGAAGAAAGTGTGATAGAAAAAAATTACTCCTCTAATTTTTCTCTCATTGTCGTTAGTTATTTCCTCAATGAAGGGTGGTTGTAATTATTGAATGCATATGACATATACATTTATTCACATTATTCATAGCCATTCAGAGCTTCAAGAGCACTCTGATGAGAATAATGTACATGTCTTACTAGTTCAATAATTAAAACCCTACACTGAAGAGTCAAAAATTAAAAAACAGAATTCATAAAGAAATACCTCATCATGCATGTAAATGATAAACATAAAATAAAATAAATTTTGACATTGTATACAATTTCAATTATTCTTTTTGTCTAAGGTCTTGGTTGAGATGAAAAAGTTATTTTCACGAGCGGGTTTGGACCCACGACCTTCTGTCAGGATAGCTCAAGTAGTTAGACCAGCAGCGTATTAAGCCAAAGGTCGTGGGTTCGAATCCCGTTTGTGACACTAACTTTTTCATCTAAACCAAGACCTTAGATGAAAAGAATAATTAATTGAAATAATTAATATGGCCAATTATGTCCGCTCAGCATGTATGGATTAATTGTATATAATTTAACTGGAAGAAATTGTATATCATTTTGAAAATAAATACATAAAAAATTGCAAAATAATATTCTATTAATTGTGTTGTAAAATTTATCCTTTTTAAACATTTGAACAAGTCACAACTTCAGAGTGACAGATAAAGTGAAACGCGTCTGATAGACTGATCCAGTGGGTATAGGCAGACCAAAAAAAAAAAAACCAAAAAAAAAAACAGTAACAACTAAATTACAGGTTCATCACTCCCAAAGCACAGTTGCTTTTAGTTCAGATATTTTCAACTTGTAAACTTTACTCATCTTTCTTTGAAATTCAATCAAATTTCCTCTTTTATCATATTCCACTTTTCCCCACCTGACTATATTTTAATCTACAATATTATCATGTTGCAATAATTCTTAGCTTTTCCTCTAAACTAACATCTATAACTGGCATGGTATCATTTAACTATTGATTTATATACATATTTTTCTAAAGCAAATCCTCAAAAATGGGATATACAAATGCATAAAGTGACATGCTCCACTTTCCAGTCCTAATTACTTGTACCACTACTACCATTGCTGTAGGGTAAGATCATCCATCCCTAACCATTTTCGTACTTGTACTGTTATGTTGTTGTAAAAAGTATTGTACTGTCATGTTAGAATCTTACTTTTATTTTTTACAACCTAGTGCTATGGTTTGTTTGAAAGCAACTTAAAGAAAATAGTTTAATTATATGATATTGATCCTACACTCCCAATTTAAATATTTGTTCAAATTTATTTTTTATTCATCTAAGTAAATGAACTTTAACTGAAAACGAGCATTACTGTAAACATTGATCACTAATATAAAATCAAAAAATCAACAAACATTCATATCTATGCTAAAATGTTTGTTCAACAATTGTTACAAACAGTGTCTAAATATTACACATATTACTGCTAACGTTATGATAATAGCATACAATTTTTATTCATGTTGTGAAATTGCCTACAATACAATTTTAAAAATTCTTCTTTTAATTTTGCGCTGCTCACATATCTGGGATATTTACATGGGATCTCACACAAGATGGGATATTTATTGTGCCGCAGGATGTTTGAGCAAAAGAAAATTGTTTCTTTGCCAATTTTTTGGTGACCATGTGACAATCACCATGGCTATACAAATTTAATTAATACACTCAGTCCTAGTTGCAAAAATTGGGAAAGAATTTGTAAAAAAAAAGGCATATTGTAAGAGTTGTTTCAGAAAAAGTAGAATTTGATATGGAAAAAGGTTGAAATTATATTAATCATAAGTAATCGAATATGAACAGTCAGCAATAAGGCGAATTTAAAAAATAAAAAACCCTCCTTCATCAAGGTTTTGATGAATACACCCCCTTCAAAAAAGGTTCAATTCTGTTTTGAATTATTAGTGAGACAGTTCAAGTTGTTTCATAAAAAGTACAATTTGGTATGGAAAGCATTGAAAATATATTTGTTATTGAAGATAAACAATCAGAAATAAGGCGTATTTGACAAAAATAAAAACCCTCCATCAAGCTTTTGATTAATTCAACCCCTTCCGAAAAGGTTGAATTCTGTTTTGAAATATTAGTGAATAAGTTCAATTTGTTTCAGAAAAAATACAGTGATAAGGTAAAAGTTGAATCAGACTTGGAAAACGTGCAAATATTCAAGACTAAACATGTCCAAGAGTGATTTTTAAGTTTTGGTCTGATGCTGAGAGGACCAACAAAGTGGCCGATTGTCCTAAACCCAGGACTATCAAAATGCATACGTCGGACAACAGGCTAACTGAAACACCTCAAGTTAACAAGTCATACAATAAATCAAACCAAAAACACAATCTAAGGGTTCGAAAATCAGCAAGGAAGGTAAAGTATCTACTGGATTAAGCGGTCATAAATCTCTCACAAACCTTTTATCAATAAACATCAATCAAATAAATAAAATATAACACAAAAGCTCAAAATTAAATAGAAAACATTTATTTCAAGTGTATCAGGAAGAAATGAAAGTACATAAGCGTAATATGTGATACACAAGTAAACAATAAACGGGAACAAAACATATACATACATTTTTAAATATATGTATATTATTTTATAAACCATTTACTATAAATTGAACCAGTTGTTGATCACAATAAAAACAAAATAAAATCTTTCCAATGCAATTACAAAGTATTTAAATAGAAACATACCAGAGAGTGGGTGAGTTAGAGCAGACATGGGTTTTGTATTCTAATTAAATCAAATTCAGACATTAGTTAATTTTATTCCAAAACTCGTATCATACGGGATGAAAACATATTTTAAAAAATATTAGGCTTGCCTTTTCTGTTTTTTAGTTTATTTTTATTTATTTAACTTTTTTCTTTTTTTTAAGGGTAGAATTTAAAACTGGAAATCGTTTACAATCAACATCAAACACCTAGCACTCAGCTGAAGGGCTGAAACCATTACCAGTATCGATAGAAGATTACTGAATCGGACAACTTCAATCTTAATGCTTCACCGTCAGCTTATTGACTTAAAAACTCTTTAGAAATTCTTTCTTTGAATTGAAATCTTCATAAATATAAACGGATTCATTTAAAACTTGACCAATTTGTACAAATTCTTTTCTTTTTTTTATGTAAACATATTAGATCATAAAAGCTGTGAGCCCGCCAAAATTCAAATAGATTTTTCAAGTGTAGTTTTAAAATTCACCGATGGACAAAATTAAAGCACCACCCTTAAATTTTTATGTTTTTAGGTTTATTCATATTTTCCATACCAAAAATAGGTTTGGTTGTAAAAATAAGACATTTAAAAAGAACATGTTTATTACCTAATTTGAAAAAAATATTTAGTAATTATTTGGAGATCGTGTGATGCAGTCTGGTGTGACGTAAGTTTAGAAAAACATTTTCTTTATCGTGCCAACGTTTCGAACTTTATTGAGATCATCTTCAGGGCCTGGGATTTATAAACATTGTTTAAATTATACAAATACATGTAGGATGTGAAAAAATAAATTTATACAATGCTAGAAATTTTAGACTTAATCGAAGTATTTGTACTCACTCAAAGTGTTTGTTTTCTGTGTAGATGTGTCATTATTGTGTGTCGTGTTGAGAGTGCCACTATTCAATATAAATATTCATTAGGATATTATTAATTAGTATTTCTTATTTTATTTGTGTTTTTCAATTTAACACACAACAGACCGATTGTTATCCATGCTCTATTGTACTTTTGTATTATGTTTCTAATTTTTGTATTAAAAAAATTAATTAATTAAAGTATATAATAAAAAAACTAAATAAATAAATCCAGCAACATTATAAATATACTTTATAATTTGGTCATCGATCGCTTTGGTTGCCTATCCTCACTGGGTTGATCTGTGAGGCATGTTTTGGCTTTTCACCACCATCAGTGTGTCTGTCTGATTCTGTAAAGTCAAGTCATGAGGGGTGTAGTGGCACTACCGAGTGAGGGTAGCAGACCGAAATGAGTGGTAAAGACCAAATTTCAGGTTCTTCATCTCGCAGACAATATGGCGAAATCTCACAGTACTTCATAATGTCTGCATTCAATTTAATGACAATGGTTTTTTTTGTCAACCATTAGAATATGATTGTTTAATAGCATTGGTGTGATGACAAAGGTTAAGAAATACAATTGTACATGAGGTGTATAAAGAATAAATTTCCTCCAAAGTTTCCAGTTTCCTGCTAACAATACTAACACTGTAATTTTTTTCTAGTGAAATTGTATTGTTCTTCTTATTTTTAAGCACAGTTAAGCATCTTAAAACTAAATCTATCACCAAAAGTGTAGATCCATCAAATAATCGGTTATGAACAAATCCTCTGTCCAATGGGATTGTATACCAGGTCAGAGACACTAAAGAAATTTAATGAAAGGGCCATAGTAGAAATTAAAAGCAGAACTATTAAACTTACTGTGAGTAGGAACTATCCTTTTAAAAAGTATTGAACACCACACTCACTCCATCATTTATCATTTCTATTAATTTGCTAGTCAAAGCAGTAATGGATTATAACACAATCAATAACATCACATCCAATTACTTAAAATCTGTTAATAAACAAGTACTTTTAAATCTTTATTATAAATTGAGACTTTCATGCTCAAAGATTAACAACTTACTGTGAGTAGGAACTATCCTTTTAAAAAGTATTGAACACCACACTCACTCCATCATTTATCATTTCTATCATTTCTATTAAACTTAGGAATGGAATCATATTATGACTGCAGTCTACGGAAATGTATAGACTCAGATCAGCAGAAATAAGCCTGAGCAAATATAGGAGAGCAAGATAGAACAATATTTGTTATGGCAAAGATCGTAAAGTGGCCGTCTCAGGCCTTAACCGTAAATTTAGTTAGTTGGTAGAGTTCTAAAAGGCCCTGAAGTTGGTCTCAATAAAAATCGAAACGTTTGCACGATAAAGAAAATGTTTTTCTAAACCTATGTCACACCAGACCACACCTCACGATGTTCAAATAATCATTAACAATTCTAAAAGTTGTTTCTTCATTTCTGAACATTTTGGTCTGGCTAACTTTGCTGTTTTGGTCTGTCAGGCTCATTTCGGACATGAAACTGAGGCCAAATGGAAAGAGAAATTTATTTCGAGAAGTGCTATTTTGGAACAACAGTGAGCCTGAAAATTCAAAATAAATATTACAAGGTTCACCTTTAAAAAACAAACAAATGTACACAAAATAAAAATAGCACTTCAAACTAAATTTCTCTGTTCCTTTTCATCCTCAGTTCTATGACCAAAACAAGTCTGACAGACCAAAAGAAGAAAATTAAATTAAATAAACAAGAATTGTACCATCTACTGCTTTTAGCTAATGTTAAGGTTAAGGCCAGAGACATTGCGTGTAATCTCTGTTATTGCCTAGAGCTTTTGTTAGGCTTATGGCTTTTTACCAGATCCCAAAGCTTTGTTAAGGGCTGTCGTGTGTATCCTTCAGCCCTTGGCTTTTAATCTCAGAATGTAAGAAGAAGTAAGATCCAGAAAGCACGTCAGTTTAGACTGCACCAGTGAAAACTTCTTATAAGGCTATAATTGTTAGTTCAGGTCATAGGTAGTACGATATTATAAATCAAAATATTGGTCTATCATGCAATATCCATTAATATATAGAGGGTTTTTACCAGATTTCAAAGCTTTGTTAATGGCTGTAGTTTTTATCCTCGAGGCCTACACACAGAGGACATATTCAGCTGTTTCTTCTTCTTCCTGGCATTATCTGCACAGGCTTATTTCTGCTATTCCAATTCTATATTCCTCTGGAGTCTGCAGTGTCCAGTCAGCAGTATTAACATGTCCTAGGTGTAATAGTTCTGACATTATACAATCCTGTATGTAGGGAGGGAGGGAGGGAGGGAGAGAGGGAGAGAGGGNAGTGAGAGAGAGAGTGAGAGAGAGAGTGAGAGAGAGAGTGTTCTGGCCTCGATTCATCGTCTCATCGTCACAAAAACAACACCGGCCCTTCTCAGGGTCACCAAAAACTCCCAGTTACTAAAAGGGGTATGTTATTATAGATTGTAATAAACGAACAAGAGAAGCTTTAATCCACTTGTTAAAGTTTGAAATATACTGGTCGCTGGTTAGAACTAGTGTCCAATGTTGACTTTTAACTCCTCTTTGTTCTTATGCTGGTTGGTCTTCTGACCTGCTGAACTGTCCTCTATGAAGCCCAGAAGCTTGACCACTGATGGCAGCGATGTAGTCATATGTACGTTATCGCTAATAACATATATTGTTTAATCGCAATTAATCTTATTATTGTATATATAACAAGTTTGATGGTATTTTATGTTAACTGTTTCGTGAGAATGTATTTATAAGCGTGAATGTGTGTAGTACAAGAGCGTTGACGGCGGGAATATCAGATACCCTTCAATCAGATTAGTTTTTGTATGTTTAGTTTATAATTGTAAAGGGCGAGGGATGTCGAGTATCCATAACACTACTTGAGTGAATTATATGCAAATAGGAAAAAATGCACATAAGAATGGCTGAGAGTGAGTGTGTCTTGGTTAAAACCTACATTCGTAAGCGGTTGACCTTGTTGTCCAATTTTATGGATATTAATCTAATTACAGTTTGGGTGTACCTTCTTTAGTTTTAATGGCAAAACTTTCAGGTTCTTATTAAACTTCACTCACTCCGCACGATACACTAGTGCATAATCGTCCCACCTCAGGCGTGCAATCTGTTGAATAGGAGGAACAAAGTTTTATTTTTTTTAAAATAAATTAATTTGTTGAACGTGTAGAAGGTTGGCTTTAAACCTTATCTAAAGAAAGAGGATAGTTTAATATGGTACAATTTGTTGAGGATTAGGTGTTTAATGAAAGGTATCTGCAGGCCATTATGAAGATCGGTGTAGACGTAGTTAGGAGCGTTGATAATGATTTTGAGGAGTGTACTCTTACAGCACTAAGCCGTACTTCCAAATCGGTTTCAGTAGTGTCTTGTATTGTTGGTGGTATGTGTGATTCCTTGATATTAATTTGTACAGAAATCCTAAATGTTCGATTCCTGTCTTTTTGTTCGTGAGCGTTGGTACTCCATCCCGTAGCAGATCAATAAAATGTTATACGTTGACGTCATCTCTTTTTATGTTTCAGGTAAAGATCGGGCAGAGGTCGGCTGGGTGTTGCAGTCGACTCAGTCTTTTGCAGATGAGGTGGCTGATAACCCATCATGGTGGGGGGGCGGTACGGTACATGGAGAGGGTTCGGTTCCTACTTCCTAAGCCTGATATTCGATAAAACGTTAAGGTGACAGTCGGACATCGAAGATGTCGAAGTTCGTTGCAGGAAAATCCTCATATTAATAAAGCTGAGGAGCGGACAGGGAGACTCTACTAAAACAATTTGAAGGCTACTCTGTTCGAGCATGTTTTATGGTTGTATGGCCGATTCCTCGGCCCGGAAAACATGACTCGTGAAGCTCGACAGGCTCCACTATTAGGTCAGCCACTTTTGAGAGCTGGTGGTCCTGCTGGGTCCGAATCCCAGTGAGAGCGGCTTACTCTCGGCTAGGCGGCGAGTTTCTTGGCCAAGCTGGGTCACCCCTTGACGGGCATGATTCTGAAAAAGGAGCATAGCTAGTTATACAAGAGACTTCGAAGTCGGGTGTGACATCTGGGGATTCGCTTCGGCGAAGGGAGGGCCGGTTTGTCTCTGGGGACGGTATTCGAGCTGCGAAACCAGCCGACGTCTCCCTGGTTCCTCCTGGTCATACTCGCCATGTAGTGTACACCGCCGCACCACTACTGAGCTGCGTTCCTACAACTCAGAATGCGATTCGCCGGTTTTCATCTCGTTTTTATGGACGGGTTTAGAACCAGCGAAGGTGTGGTCTGCGCCGTGTTTAGCGAAGATGTCCACTTCGTAGCAGCACCCGGTGGAGTTGAATGGAAGAGATCTGGTACGCTCTCGGGTTAATTCAAAAAGAAACAGGCACTGCTTATCTCCTCTCTATGGATTCCCTGAGCACTATCCGACACAGATTCTCGATGAACCCTCTTACCGTTCTGTCGCTAAAAAGCGGAAAAAAACGGTTGTAGTCGTTTGGGTTCCGTTTGGGACCCGGACCCGCTATCGCCGCCTCGTCTGCACGTTTGTTGCCCTCCAGGCCGAATCACCGCAATCCGGCCTGCTGACGCTAGTAAATAATGGAATAAAACAACGCTGCCAGCAACAGTGGGCCGGTTTTTCCGAAAAGTTTTTGCCCCTCAAGAACACGACTGCACGATGGTCACCTGAAAGGAAAGTATCATGTTCACCTGTTTGAGGATAAGCTATTCTCGATTGAAATTCGGATACTTGCTTCTGGAGCGAACCCCGAGTAGATGTTTCCCCTTAGAGAAAGGTCGCTCAGGGTGTCACACTTGGTCCAGGAGTGCCAGGTATTATTGGCTCCTTATAGGGAAAGAGAGGTATGGTACCAGAAATAAAAACAGTCTATGGGTATGAGAGTACGTTGGTGGGTTTCCTTTTCCCCACGTTTTACCTCTATATATTGTATTATTAATTATATAATATATTTTTGGTGAAATTGTACAGTTTGCACCTCAGTCCGTGTATTTCGTGTAGGAAATAAAGACAAACAAGAGTAGACCCAGTAGAATGATCAAGTGTCGTGAAGAACATGTGAGGTATAATTGATTTCTTGTGATCGTCATAGCACTTGGATATCACGCAGTCAGTGAATAGTTTATCTCTGAAGTGATTAACAGTCTCACAATCGAGTAAAAGGTTAATTATACTGTTCAAAGAATATTGATGGACTTCGAACCTAGTACTACGTGACATGAGAATTGTATGTTCTACAAACAGACCACGCTGGACAGAATCAAAACCCGCCACAGGGAAAAGTGCCTACAATGTTTTCACTCCAGTGTCAACTTTGTCATTTACAAGGATCTGAGACACGACACGGCATTGTTTGATCTCCGAAAAGAGAATTATAAGAGGCTCAACCTAACGGAGCTCCGGTGGTGGTTTAAGCTTTAAGATTCGGTGTGGAGATCTTCATCTGAGGTCTGCAGTGTGGATGGGGGAAGCATTGGGTAGATGTCCCCTTTGTAACTCCCGGGATGTAAAAGGCATGTTTCACTTTGTGGACAAATGCACAAATTTAACGGAGATACGTGTATTTCATCTTGGTGCAGCAGTGCTGCCACGCGAGAAGTTCCTCTAACTTCTTAGCGGTGCTGAAACTCAAACCTTAGTGAGTTATGCCAGGAAGGCATTGTGGTGTAGATATGATTTCTTATCATTTTCTTTCATGATAACGTTCATCATGGAATTTTACTTTGTCTCTTTTTCTTTCCGTACCCAACTTTCTTTTACTTATTTACATTTTTATTTTCATAATTTCATTTGGTAATGTTTATTTACTTTCATTTATTTTTATTTAGCTCGTTATTATATTTTTACAGCGGCCTTCCCGGCAGACGGACTTATCCATGCATTGTAATTTAATTATAACTATTAAATTGTGAACCCATTAGTGCCCAGTCGCAACTTTATTTGCGTCATATTTGCTAATTTTTTTTAAATGGCCTTTTTGACATATTTAAATTTTCATTTCGCTATTTTTTTCATTCGAAAATTTTCTATTTACTACAAAAATGGCATTATTTTTAGGCATTAGTCTTTATTTTAGTGGTGATAATCAAAATGCTTAGCGAAGTCACTGACTTTTTGTACATTTTCCGGCTCCTTCTAAATAAAATTTTATATATTTTAAAATGTTATCATTATTCTTCAAATTTCTTGTGGATGTATCTCTAAACGTTCACATTTAGAACAAGTCAAACATAGCAATGAATTATTATTTTATTAGCGCTTGAATGTGCGCGCAACTACGGTTGCGTTCGAGCACTTGCAGAGTTCTTTGATCTCCTTCTATTACGTCTCTTTCCAGAACCGCTCCTAAAAGAGTTAAATAAAAAAGGTCTGGGGGGGGGACAGGGACTTTCAGAGAAAATATAATAAAACCCAACTATTTATTAGAAGACAAAGCCAAATTCAAGAAAGGGCAAAGGGGAAAAGTGCTGTACAGATCTGATGGGAATTTCATACTTGCAAGGTGGAATGATAGTTGTGTTGTGACTGTGATGACAAAGACAACGGAAGCTGTAGACAGAACTGTCACTAACTATCCCAATGCCTGAAGTTATTGCTAAGTATAATTCATTATGGTGCCCTGAAGATGATCTCAATAAAGATCGAAACGTTGGCACGATAAAGAAAATGTTTTTCTGAAACCTACATCACACCAGACCGCACTTCACGATCAACAAGGTTCGCAACAGCGGAGGTCATATCAACCCTCAGAGTGCCGGTGTTTTTGAAAAAAAAGCCCATTCATAAGTATGTCGGGTTCGAATGCACGGCCGCGGGATTCGAACCCGGGACCTTTACCTTACAGTGATGAGCGCCTTTGCGACCGCCGACGCCCCCTCCATCTTTGTAATTAGTTCTCTAGTTTTAGTTAGTAATTGGTTAACTCCAGCGAGTAGTGGGTATATTTTTTGTATACAGTACTGATACATATGTCGTTTTGTGTTGTACATTGAGAGTAAATTTATTTATTAGCGTGATTGCGTAAGGTGAGAGGCCCTAGAGCATTGACATTGTATTATTATATAGCACGTGTAAAGAGTTAAGGATGAGTAGCTCTTGCACTTCGGCATGTCTCCAGATAGTCAAAACGTAAGAACGATCATCCTAACTCGACGCACAATCGGCCATGTGCAGTTCACACTCGGACATTTGATTTTGGCGCAAAGATCGCGTATGGGTTCGGCAGAGAAACGTTATGCACTGACAGGCAGAAAACTCCACCCACTTCTAATATAACTTAATTTGTATATATTTTATATATTAATCAATGGTTCATATTTTTAAACCTTTAGTATCAGTATTACCGTATAAAAGATTAGAATATATTTTTATAAAATTATTGCAATTGTGTTCAAAATAAAGTTATTTTACTGCCCAGCAAGTGTTTATTTATTCATCTAAAACAGAAGTAAAAAATATTATTTCTGGAGAAAAATTGAACGTAAGTGCCCAAGCGCAACTAAAGTTGCGTGCTATTAATTTGTTATATATATTTTTTAATTTTTTTAACGAGGCTTCGAAACATCAGAGGTCATATCAGACCTCAAGGTGCCGGTTTTTTTTAAGAAAAGCCCATTTGTAAGTATGTTGGGTTCGAATGCAGGGCCGCTGGATTGGAACCCGGGACCTTTACCTTACAGCGATAAGCGACGAGTCAACGCTTAAACCGTTGCGGCCACCGACGCCCCATATTAGTTATAGAAAAGAATTAGGGCTTCCAAATTTTTTTTTTTTTTTTGACATGGTAGACATATAATCAGGTTACTGTTTTTTTATTTATTTATTTTTTTACGAGGGTTCGCAACGCCAGAGGTTATGGTGTATATACTTTTGTAAATTTTTTTGTTCAAATATGTTTTTAGTTTTTATATTTTAAATAAACGTATTATCTATCCATCTGTTTATCTATTTGGTCAGACAAAAAATCAGGTTCTTAAAAGAGACGTGCGTAAATTCTGCAGAAAACGGACATGGCTTTCGTGCAACTTCGTCCTACTATCTATTCTCTATTAAAAATGGTATATTTCCGGAAGAGGTCTAAGTTCGTGGGGGTGGCAATGTGAGCAGTTGGAGGGGGCGGTGGCAGTTTGTGTAGGGAGCGTGGGGGTGGTTTCCAGTACGCTGTAGGGCTCTGGAGCCTTAAGACAGATCTCGACGGCACTGCAATACAATTCACCGATATGTAACATGCACACCATTCTGCCCGCTCTCTGCCTCTCTGCTTTAGCAGGTCAGTAGTACCTTTATCTGCTCTTTCACGCCGTTCTCTATCGATTGACCCCGGACGGGGGCCGTTTTAAAACCCGCCTTTCGAACTAGCAGAAGTGTCTCTCGTCCAGTCAAACCACTCGGATAACGTTCGGCCTGTTTATAAATTGAATGTTTTGACGATAGCCCCTAGGGTTTGTGTATTTGAATAGGATTGTCCTACAGACTCCCGACCTCCGCTCTCTCCTGTATCGACTGGCCAAATCTTACGGATAATACGAACTGTATTTTCAATTAATCAACCAACTCGAGTTTTTTTTAGCGTGTGTCGGGCCAATGTTTGGATTTGGCACGAATTGACTGAACGTCGACACCGGCTGCACACCCGTTAACCCTTTTCCACACATCGCCTTCGCACGCTAATCCCTTTCTGTTTAGATTACCCCTCCCCTTTTTTCAGCTTGCTTAAGCCGGCACATTAATTTCAACCATCGGTTTTCCAATTTCACATTCATCCTACAAAAAAAAAAAACAAAAAAAAAACATTGTCGATATCAAAAATATGTACAGAGCCAAATCAAAAACAGAAAATACATCTTTTGAGTTGAAGTGAATAATAGTTCATCAGGTGTATTTAAATAATGAAAAATTATAATTTTCTGTATGTAATGTGCTGCAAGAACTACAGAAATCAGTACTGATGTAAGCCAAAATCAAAACATCCATGTTTAACACATGTGCCAGTTAAAGACCATAACAAACAAAGTAGTCCTTGCTTTTTAATTTAATTTGAAATATTGCGGTACGTTTTAGCAGGAAAAAACAAACAAGAATTTAATAGATAAACGGGGAAACAATCATCAATATTTTTTTTTTCAAGAAATAAAATGTTTGACGCTTCAATTGAACCAACGGTAATGATTCAAAACAAAAAACATTATAAGCATAATCTAGGGACTACCGACAAAAACTGCTCTCATTTTTGAAAAACCTTTGCTTCGGTCATATTCCAGAAACTCAGTTTGGCTTCAGATCTCAGCATTCTTGCTCACAATACTAGGGCTGTTTCCCGACAGAGAAAAGGTATGGCGTGACGGTCTTAAGCACAAACTGAGAAATGTGGTACTGCATACTCTAAAAACCAAGATGTAAACGCGGGAGTTCCACAAGGAAATGTCCTAGGCCATTTTTTGTATCTTGTGTCATCGGCCTTTCTTAAACCAATGGGGGGAGGGAGTTAAAATGGTTGTTGCTGTACGTACTGATTTTTGAGCCATTTGCGATTGTAATGATTTCAAAATTACAAAAAGTCATCATAATCTAGAGAACTACCGGTCAAAACTAGTCTCGATTTTCATAAATTTTTTTAAAGAAATAATTTTGTTCCTGTGTACACTTAATTTTGGAGCTTATATTCCAAAAACTCTGTTTAGCTCGAAACCTCAACATTCTTGCCCTCAGGATGGAATTTTAATTTTCTTACTAGGGAGTTTTCTAAGGTATAACATGACCTTCTTAAAGACAAACTATGAAATATGGTACTGCACACACTAAAAAATCCTTGTAAACGCAGGAGTTTCACAAGGAAACGTCCTATGCCCCTTTTTGTATCTTGTGTTATCGGCCTTTTCTAAATCGGGATAAAATGTTTGATGCTGTATGTACTGTTTTTTGTGCCATTGGCGATTGTGTCGATTCCAAAACTTCAAAAAAGCCATCATAATCAAGGGAACTACCAGCCATTAACCAAAGGTACTTCGATTTTCTGAAACATTTTTGAAAAACATTTGCTTGGGTCTTATATCCCAGAAAACCAGTTTGGCTTCAGATCTCAGCGTTCTTGCCCACAGGCCACATAATTTTCTTGACTAGGGGAGAACGTAATGCATACCCGTCTTAAGCACAAACTGTGAAATGTGGTACTGCATATTCTAAAAACCACGATTTAAATGCGGGAGTTAGACAAGGAAGCGTCCTAGGCCCCTTTTTCGTACCTTGTATCGGCTTTTCCTAAACCGGATAGTTTAGTTAGAGCACAACTTGCAATTGATGCACCAGTGTACAGTACTAAGTCCAAAGTACTCAGAACCATAGTCAATGATCCTTGTCTCCAACATTACCCTTCAAAATGACTTCAAAATCGCAAAAAATAATCTCCAAAAAATTTTCATGTTTCTATAATCTTCTCACCTTAATCGAGTTGCCCAATCCTTATCCAATAGAAACCAACATTCTAATCCCGCTAGACTGGAGAGAAGATGCTCTCCCGACCTATTAAATGTGGATTAGTCCTCGTGTATGTACAGTTGGGAGAACAAGAATGTTTGTTAACACCCACCCCTCCCACGACACGATCCATAACATTTTGTAAATCCGTCTCATTACATAATGTAAATAAGGTGACAGACTGTAATAAATATATTTAAAAAATTGCACGCCGTAATTCGTAGTGACGTTTGATTTCACTTTCTGAATTAGCAGGCGGATCGAACCGTTGCATTTAAGTTTGCGCATACAAATTAGTACTTAGCGGAAGGCTTCGTCGACGCTTTTAGCGGCTGTGTAAGCCGATGGAACTGAAGGCGACCCATTTATGTTTTAACAAGATTATATCATATCTCAGGGTTTAAATAAATGTATTTTATTAGTACTAAGAAAAGTAATTTCTGTCCAACTACCCGTTGGGTGTCAAACCGCTTTACAAATACTTCTTTCACATTATTTTCAATTAAAAAACCATGGACTGTGCGGGGTCCCATAAGTAAACTAATTCCTGTCAAACTGGTGGTTAATGTCCAACTACCCATTGGGCGTCGTGGTCGAAGGGTCGAACCACTTTATGATACTTCTTTCATACTATTCTCAATTAAAAAACCGTTGGCTGTGCAGGGATTCGAACCCAGGACCGTTAGCGTGGCAAATATGAGTCGGTCGCCCTACTCGGCCAACGCAGTCCCTTTTTGACCACTTCCCAAAGCTTTTTGTGTGAATTTTTCAGGCCACGGCTTTTCCGCTTCCAGGAATCAGCTTTCGCAACAAGATGACATATTCAGCTTTCTTTTTTTTTCTGGCACAAACACAGGCTTGTTTCTGCTGTTTCGAAGTCTGCAGTGTCTAATCAGCGTACTATCTATCCCTGAAACGTCCTAGGTTTAATAGTTCTACCGTTAGTTTCTGCGCCTGGTCCTTTGATGAACTTTTTCGCTTCTGTCCTAGGATACCCATTGAACTGAGGATTTATTTTAACCACTGTTGCAAGGATCTCTATTTCTGGCAATTTGGTATGCAGCAAAAGGGTTCAGGGCCGATAGGTGTCCTCATTGAACCAGACTAGGCCAATTTATAGACCTCCTCCTTGCCCCGTCTGTCGTGCTATCGTATTATTAACTAACATTTTAATATTTCTAACAGCTTGCCGTCTTGGGAAGGAATCGAACTGTCAAAAAATCGGATTAAGGTCCCGCGTAAGTGGAAAATGTCTCAAACCGATATGATCTATTTTCTCTCCAATCTGTCCCCTTCCTGGTGGGTTTTGACTTTTTTGGCGCCTGTTTCTGTGGCGTGACTTCAGGTCTTGTCCTCTTTTTTCGACATTCGAAGCAGGTTTTGTCACAAGGGACGGCTGCTGTTTCTGCTCTTGTCCTTTGTTGGCTTCAAGGTTGCTCTTATGAAATCGTCGCGGATTATCATCCTCCTTACTTTCACATATTCCACCTCTCTTTCAGTAAGGTTGCAAATCTGGCCCACGAGGCTCCTGTCAGATGGACCGTGGTTATCTCATCCACCGAGCCGGATTCGATGACCATCAAGCGTTGTCTTGAATGGGGAGTATTTGGTGTGTTTGGCAAGATTGCCTGTTTTGGCGATCTCAGGGCCTGTCTCAGATTTAGTTGGGTTTGTTGTATGTTTAGGTTCCATGTAGTTCCCACGGAGTAGCTAGGGAAGTAAGCTGTCCACCGTAGCCCTTTCACCCAGGGAGTGGAACTACAGCGACGACGGTTGGTATAATATGGTTAAGGCTCGGGGCCCTGAAAAGGGGCACCTCGTGTCCTCATCCACGTCCCTCTCTCAATCCAGGTTCCTTCACTCTTTACTGTGACCCCTCCCAACCCTTGGTTACAAGGGGTGTGTCCAGGCACAAAATAATGGTGCAGCCCTGAGGGCGTGGCAACCTCTCTAAAGCACAAGCTGTAATCGTGTCGGCCTCGGGTCGGCATGGGCAGCGGGTGCCTTATCAGAGGCACACGAGGGTTAGGGTACCAGATCCTGTCTGCACAGACGGGGGAGGGTACATAACCATCTGTACTACGGGGTAACAGAAATGTTCCAAAATCCAGCCCCTGTTACTGGGAATGGATTCGAAGTGGTACGTGGTGACGCCCCTAGCGGGAACTTAGAAAAGAGGCTATCTTCGACATGTGGCCTTCGCACGAAACTTGCGTATGACCACCGTTATACATCCGGCCTCACGGGATACGGCGGATCGGACGGCAGAGTATAAGCGTTGAATACGCTATGATTATGCTGGAAAGTCCCTCGAATGCGTGAGTAGTGGTGGGTGGGTAGAATAGTAGCAACCGGGTAGTGAATCGGTTGCTCCTATTCGAGTATGCTTTGCACGTAGGTGTAGGCTGAGCTCGATTGGAGGCTTTTACCGTAGGCGGTACTCCTCTAGGGGGTGGTTAGCAATTTCACTTTAAACATAACCGCAGTCGGAGTTGATCCGGAAGTTTCTACGCTAGGGAAGTCCCAATACTCTGGGAGATAGAGTGGTCTTCTCTTCCTAAGGAGTGCGCGGAGACTAGGCTGATGTATTTCGGCCCAGGTAGCCCTTTGCGCGCGGCATACGGTTCGATGCTTAATGCGCACACGACCACTCAGAATGGGCAAGCGGGAAGCGAGGTTATCTTGGTAAGGGACAGCCTCTACAAGCCTCTACACCAACGTGCGTCAGCTCTCATCTTGAGAATCAAAACGTTCGAAAAGGCCTAATTGGCCAGGTGCGGGCGTTAAAGATCTTCA